TCTTTTTAGAAACCTTTTGTGGAGATAAACTGCTACTTTTACGCCGTTCATATACATACATGCGGCAGTGCACACATGTTTTTCTTGTGTATGCAGGTATGTGTATGGGGGTTCAACATCATGTTATATACCTTCCGATAAACATCGAAAACATGCATTGTAAAACCTGCATCTCATTTAAGATCTCACATTATAAAAATCGGCTCATTTGCAGCAGAAATCAAATACTTATTCTCAAAAACAATAAAGCATATATTCGATGTGGAAATTTTCATATTTCTCATACTTGCTGTTTTTAAGATGTTCTACTGCACGTATAGGAGACGCATGCTCGCAAACACGTATGCATATGAATATGAATGACTTTAATACGTCCTCAACAATGAGTGACCTCAACTTGCTGAGGCACTGATTCAACAATTTCTGTAGAGCATGTTATGAATTCAGACACACGCACATGTGGTCAGTTTCTTTCAGAATTTTTTTCAAACATATTATTATGACAAAATATAAATACTGCTTTTTTAATACTTATAAGAAGCTCTTGAAAAAATAAGAGAAACGCATAAGCACGAATATGCAGATACAGTAATTTTCATTAGTAACATTAACATGAGGTATCTTATCGACCTCATCAGTGATCTTTAAGAATGTGTTCCAAGCAACGGTGTTGTTTTATGTAGTCAGGAAGATAAATTGTTAATCAGTATTATAATAAAGCTTATGCTGCATTTATTGTAAAAACTCTGAATTCTTAGCCTATTAACATAATAAATAGTCTAGTGTGCTACTTTTATACATTAAGTAACTTTAATATATATATATATATATATATATATATAATATGGTGTGTGTAAAATATAAAAAAATACGATGGCTTTGCTCTACGCGAACAGGTAACCTCTAATTAACTTTTCGAAATTTAGGATCTCCCCCCTAGACCAGTACCTTCGAGAACATTCGAGCTTATTACGTAACCGCTAGTATAAATAACGAATGCGCGTCATTTTGCGAACAGAAGCTTCCCTCTCCCCGTGCTGTTAAAACCTAAGCTGCTGCTCCCATCTTCCTTTCCTCTATGACGCAATAAATTTAAAGTAATCTTATTTAGTAACGAATATTGATCTGCTTCTGAAATTGAAATAAAGATATGGAATAGTAAAAAGTGAAATCCTGTGTCTTCTTTGGATACCGCCTTAACACTCTGCTACAGAAATGTCTGGACTTTGATGCCAAGCCACGACTGCCGTATCACCACACACACACACACACACACACACACACACACACACACACACACACACACACATATATATATATATATATATATATATACCTTTAATATAAATATACTTTTAATATACCTTTAATATATATATGATACAATAAAAGCAAGGAAAGGACGGAAGTCTGTCGATGCGTACTTAGATCCATATTGAAAAGGAAGAATTCTGATTGCGTAGTATACTAATATGTTGACTTCGTAATATCTAAGAAATTTGGCAGTCGAGACTGTTTTAATTCCATTTTTATTTTCCAGTTGACGTTTGTGGCCACAATTCACTTGGCACTATTCAAGAACATTTACATTTTTGATATTATACCGATAGCAAACAAAACAGCGAAATTACATCCTAGCAGGGCAGAGAGCGAAGCTGAAATGCGTAGTTATGCAAGATGGAAGCACGCGAAGAGAAAGGTTTTGGTTTGGGTTAAAAGGGTTCAGAAAAGCAGACTGTCTACAATTATTACAATTATTACGTCATCAGCGGTGCGCAGGCCACAGAATGAGCTAGAAATGACGCAATCCAGTGAAGTTATTACGATTTTTAAAACAGAGAGGGAGAATTAATGTTTTACCCATTAGTTTAAATTTTAATTTTGATTTACATATTTTTTATCATATATATCCCCCTTTCAAAGAGAAAATAGCTTGGCGACAAAAAGAAACTTTTTAGAAACAAGCATTACAGAATTAGCGAAGCAAGGGAAACGTAATTGCTTTTATTACATTATATATATATATATATATATATATATGAAGTAATGATATTTATATATATATTTAAGATTACTGTCTGACTAAGTGCATAACCTTGGTTGGCCCTCTGCCGAAATTCTTAGGCTAGTCCAAAAAGGGTGAAAAATAACCAACTGACGAAACATTTGCTCGTATTCCTGAGACGCATATTAAAAAAATCTACTCACAGCTTCTTTTTAAATTATATATGCGCCTTGACTCTAATGTATGATTAAGTGAATTTAGGAATTAAAATTAAAAAAAAAGTTTCCTGCATTGATAATACCCATCTCTCTTTCTCTACAAATAAATCGGTTCGAATACAGCGCTCGTATTTGCGCTTATAATAGCACTGATACGTTCAGATGCAAAATAATCCTTTTTTTTTTTTCTTTGAAATAGAAATTAAACAGTATATTATGCAAAAATGGGTTACACAAGCAGTTTTTTTTTGAACTACCGCGTAAATATTATTTTTTCGATATATTGAATCACATAGGCTAAAAGTTGCTTTCTTTTACTTATCTAATAATTCTGAATGCTACAGTTTGAAAAATTTAGAAATATTTAAATTCATTCGAGGTTCATTAAGGTATTGTTAACAAGTCTTGATATTAACTTTGAAGCGTGCAATCAAGATAAGCAGACTGTCTATAGCAACTTATAAAAAGGAAATTAAAAAAAAAAAAAACACCAATAATCAGTTTTAAAATGTGGCGCTATATTTTCTTCCTTCTTATTTCCCCCCCCCCCGCCCATGTAAAATTTATTCTACATTCTCTTTACCCCATAAGGAATTATGCAGTTCATCTATTCCTTTAAAATTGTCATTATTTAGTTACATATAAAAACGCCACCAGCGACTTATTCCTTTTTTGTTAAGCTGTAGCATTCGTAATAAAAACTAGAATTTAATATCTTTTACACATTTGCGATGAAACTATGCTTTCACGACTTCACATTTTCAAGTAGTTTTTAATTTGTAGTTATTTAAATGTGCTCATATACATTTCATTAATTATATAATATATACACATACATATATATAATTATGTGTGTTTGCAGTCAATACTTTCATATTCTGTAGCTGTGAAAAACTCATAAAATGTTTCATCAATATATTTGTTATTTACTATAAAAAGTAGAACTGATTTCATTAGCAAATAGATGAAAAATATATGCAATTAGTCAGTATTTTCTTTTACTAATGTTAGTTAAAGTTATACTAATGTTATTTATTAATTTTTAAATAAATTATACTATAGTTAAAACTTTGAAGTCAATATTTGTTACAAAATTCCTTATCATGCAACAGTTTGGCTATTTAGACACTGTAAATTTATAACCCAGAGTAATTTGACCAGAATTTATGACCTAATTTTACTTACCTGAAAATTTTCAATAAATGTCCCTGAAATCGTAAAAGAAATAAAATATATTGTTACTGAAGTTCTGAGAAATAGGCTACACTCAATGCAATTACATGTGATTATAGGAATCATTGAATCATGCCATTAAATTTCAATGAAACTCAAATTTAAAAAGAAACAAATTTTGAATGGTTACTTAATCTTAGCTACAGTCAGTAACCATGACTGTTTATAAGAATGATTCACTCTATTGTTAAGATTTTTAAAACTGTCAAATGTAAGTCTCTGAAAACTTGTTCAATGCCACAAAATACTGATTTTGAGAGAAAGTGTCTGTAATACCATATAATCGTAAACGAAAACATTGGGATAAAAGTCGAACAAACGTTCCAGTCTTAGGTTATTCGTTTTGAAGATATTTATTAACGCGTCACAACAGTAATAGAATATTAACCTCTAACTCGTACGACTCGTCCCAGGGACCACAGTATCACGTTTGACCCAAAGAATTTTTTTGGTTTACCACGTAATTGTATGTGTACATTGGTAGCTTCATCCTTAACAATGAAGGTAACGATCGTATTTTATTTTCATATAAAATTTTTAATCAATACAAAGATAACTGGTTATGCATTTGAAAAGTATATAAATATGCTCGAATTAAATGAACTCATACAGATATGCCAAGCATATCAGTTAATGAATAAAACTGCAACAGAATACTCAAGATTTGTGACTTTTGTGCATATATTATGATATTACAAATTCAAAACATAAAATAAACCGGAAAGTTCATCTTCAACATCTATACTTAATGCAAGAGATATTTTTGCCATGTTCCCTCCATCCTTTTAGAATTGGAAAACGATCATGAAAATCAAAATAATTAAATAAAAGTGATGTGAACAAGTAGAAGTGTTTAATGTATATAAAATATTCCAAAAGCAGATATAAAGACAGTCGACTGTTCCGTCGCCCGTTGAAAACTTATCAGCTTTTTTCAGAATTCTGCTTCCTATACTTTCAAGATTAAAAAAACCTAATTAGGCACCAAAAAACAAACAATTTGACAGCAAAACTCTGTACCATTAGCAAACAAATCGTAGGAACATATTTTAAGAGAAATGGACAATTTACAAGAATGTGGACTCTTGCTGAACTCTGCAGCAACAAGTGTAGTCTATACAGACACAACGATAAACTACATAGAGTTAAAGGTTTTCGTTTGGTTTCTAAGGAAATAATCTTTTTCCTAGTGTTATCTAGAGGTTCTTAACCCTTCAGAAGAATATTTAGAGAAATATGGTTTAACATTCACAACTAACTGAAAGCAGCATATCTGTTTTCTTTCGTTTCAGTTGAAAATTTGAACCACACAATACAGAGCTCTAACTCTCGAAAGGGAAGGCCACATCACTTCGGCTTAAATTAAGCAAGCAAAACCTTTAACCTTTGTTGGAGACAGAATACAATGCTTAATTCAAGAAAAGAAAAGGAAAAAAAAAAAAAAAAAACGTATTTTCATACAAGGCTTAATTTCATCTTGACAAACACTATACAAACCTTGGAAAAGAGGAAGTAAATGAACTCACGTGTTAAAGAAATATTTAGCGATTTAAAAAAAAGAAAGGAAATAATGCGTGGGATACGCAGAAATCTGACGCACAGGTGATGGTCATTCGAAAAGGTATTTAAACGCGCAGAAAGGGAAAGCTGATTCTGTCACAAACAGAGAATTTTATATAGCGACACTTTACGTTTGTCCCAAAACAGTGAACTTGGTCCTTGTTTTTCGATCAGAATACTAACTCAAAAGCAAAGATTTCAAATCGTAAGTAATTTAAAATTATTTTTTAAAAATTTTAATTGGCGTTTTCAGATACAAATCTTAATATAGAACAGATCGCAACTTTAGAAATATAAAAATGTAAAAACAGGTGCAACTGAACTTTATTTAACCAAACTTCGATTAATCGCAACAACGTCTTAACCGAAGAAGCGGACAAAAGTAACATTAAGTTCATGGAAACCAAAACCAGTAACTTCAAATTTTACATCAATTTTATGTTTCATTATTTGGAGATAAATATATTTCATCTATGGAGAAACAAAAGGCTTGTAGGGTTCTAACCTTTTATCTAATGGCTAAGCGTGTGGGAACCTCGTGAACAGGTAAGCGAATATTCGCTTTAGTTCAGAAACAGGTACGTAAAACTCAAGAAGGGTTAATTATCCTTTGTTTCTCAAAATAAGAAATGGCTCCTTCAAAGTGTACAGCAAAGCTTCCACTTGGGCTTGAACTCAAAGTAATAAGAAGTAAAACTTAACTAAAGCTTAACTAAGAGATATAGCCGAAGCTATCAAGAAATATTTAAGTAGTTGGCCCTTAAATATCAATTAAGCTGGCGAAGCTATCAAGGGCCTGAGATATGGCCGAGCGTAGCTTAGAGAGAGTGTAGCAAAATGCTACAGACTTCAATATACAGTATACGAAAATAGTGAACTGAGAAATATCAGTTCCAGGAGCTGATTTTCAAATATCTATGTTTATTAATAGATTATACTACTTGAGATTTGCTTTATTCCAAAAGAGTTACCTGAACATGGATAAGCTGTCAAAAGCATAAGAGATTTCAATGAATTACTTAAAATTTTTTAATATATCCTAAGTGAATTTTCATTAATCAGTAACGAAATGTATCCGTGAACTCAGTTGTTATTAACAATATGCCAGAAAAAATTTCTGAAAATAAACATTATGTTTATTTATAGGTTTGTCTATTTCTGTTTTACATAAGTTTTGTTTCTTTTTCTGCAAATATAAATTCATTTCAAGTGTTGTACAAATACGCGCTTTCCCAATTAAGTTTAACAGCTTAAAAGTGGCAATCGTAATAATAATTTAGTAATTCTTTAGTTGTAGCAGGTGCATATTATTTATATATGTAATTATATTATGTAAAATGAAATGAATTGCTTAAGGGCTTATAACTAAATATTTCACTTCATTTTAACTCCTTATTGAAATAAAAAAAAGAGGTTTAAAATTAAAATTTTTAAGCTTATATCTTATGCAAAACGCATATTTCTCCTCTTATAGATGGACACATGTTCTTTCAGCATTGGCAAGCAATGACTGAACCCAACGATCTTTATCGAGAATGTTTCCCAGAGTGCACCGCAGAGAACAAACTGACAATATAAATGCAGCAATGCAGGAGGCAATACGAATATCCATAGATTGACACTATAACTTCAGCAAGGCAGGATACCGTACAAATATTCACGTCTTCTACGGAATTCGAACGCGGGAAAACAACGCTACTGCAGCCAGCTCTTCAACCACCATCGAGACAGTGCAAAATGTATATTTATAAATAATATTTTTACGGAGAATGATTTGTTCAAAATTGAGCGGTTCTCACTTTTTCAGATGAATAAGGACTTCACCATGTTATTCGCATCATCCAACATAGTTTTGCCATTAGAATTACCGATAAAATGGGTTCTGCTATATAACTATCATTATATAGATTATATTAAGTGCTATACAATTCTAGTTACATACACTACTCTAAAACTATAGTCGTTATATTTTCTTTTTGAATTTTTAAACAATACGTCTAAAATAATTTATGTATCATTGTCCAGACTATTTTAAATGAAATAAGCAATAAAACAGCTCTTTGAAAATGGCTTTTAAAAAGACTATTCAAAGCTAAAACTAATATTAAGAGGAGAAAGGAGGGAAAGCTAAATTTTCTAGAACAAACATGTACTGTGAAACACTATTAATGGTTTAAATACGATTATTAAAAGTATCAATAATAATGCTATTAAAATGAGCTTAAAGAAGCTATAAATAAGTAAAATAACATTAACTTAAGTAGAAACTAATTGAAAGAAATATAAAATTAAGTAACACAATCTATGTCTGTATAAGTGTAAAATGATATACGCTCTTCAAGTGCAAATTTACACAGAATAACCATAAAAATCATGATCATTATTCTTAGCAAAGAACAAATGAACTATCGCATTGTATCGGAGAGAAAAAGATGTCTAAAAAACTTTAAAAACATGATCACTTTGTGATGATCTCTTTTCTCATTACCCTTAGAATTCTGGCTTTCTTTTAATGACAATAAAAATAAGTTTCACTGGCAATGTTTACGCATTTTCTTCTCGGTAAACCTAGAAATATTTCAGTTCTCCATTGGAAGAAAAGAAAATTACAGATAAACAACAGATAACAGCTACGTGGTAAAAAGAAGAAGGCCTAAACTTCGGCACATTATCATACCATGCTCTGTTTCAAACGAGAGAACAACCTGTAAGTATTGTCAGCGCTCTTGAACCTTTACTGTTTTTTTCTTTCTTAAATATTGTTCGTTCTTAGAAAGAAAAAATGGTAGCAAAGGTAAAGGAACTGAGCATAAAAATTGCATAATATGTGAGACAGTGCATGAAGGTAGTTGATCCAAAAGATGACATTTTATTTTCACAACTATTGAGACTAGTCTAACTGGAATATGTCATCATATGTGCATCGTTCCGTTTCACATTCAGCAGCTATGATTCGAGAAGGTATTAATCTCTGTATTTTGAATGAAATGACTTATTGTTCGATGATGGCAAAATCTTCAGAACTCAATTGTATTACGCTAAGTTTGAAACAATGCTCTTATAGGAGACAACTGGATAGTCAAAGCTGTAGAAATTTTCCAGCAAAATCAAATGAAATGCTTAATGACTTATAAAACAAATAAATATTTCGCTTCATTTCCACAGCTTACCAAGTAAGAGCGTCACATCTGAAACACAGTCTTACCTGAGTGACTGGAATTTTTTATTAAATCAACGATTTTTATTTATCATTCCTAAGTAAACTAAAACTTATATTATGCCAAAAAAGTAAAATACTCCATTATTTTACTTTACATACAGATGTTTGGTATTCTACATTTGAATTTTTTTTTAATGTATTTTTACATTTAGATAAAAATGCAGTATATTTTACCCTTTTTTTCTATTAAGTAAACAAGAATAAATTGCAAACAGTTCTATTGACCTCCACTCAGCCGAAAACACAATACTCGACAAGACGGACAAGGTCAGTTCTTTCAGTGGACACAAAAACTAATATAAATCTTAAGAATCAAGTTTTGCATTTTAAAACAAAAGTCGACCTCAAGGTCGTTTTAAAAATCTGTTAAAATCGAGTTGCAATTCACTGAATCAATAATATACAACTCATTATATTGTTCACATACTGGATAATTAGATTAAATGCAAATGCAAGGGTATGTTTGTATCTTTCAAAACTAAAATGTGATGTGCACTTTACCAACCATCATTGCTACTCATAATTCAAAATAAATAAAAAAATCCCTTGCTTACTCATACCTTGCATAAAAATTGCTTACGCATTGCTGTTATTTGACTTCATTGTTACAATGTAAATCTGAATAAATATATACTCTGCAAAAGGCCTTAATATTTTTTATAATACGTGATATAGACAAATAAATATGTTAGGCAAAGCAACAATTTGTTTCTGTTTGCTCTTAAATAAATATGTCCACGCCAAAACAAAAATTTTGAATTTTTTTAAAACTTTCACTTACTTCAAACATTATTTTTTGATATTTTACATTTATATACTTCTTTTATGGCCATTTCACCAGATAATATATATATAAGGAAACCCATAACTTAAATTTAAAAATTTTTCTCAAAACCAAATATGCCGAGCTTTCTAATAGAATCTCCTCTCCGAAACAATGACTCTGTAGATTTGTGAATCTGAAGCACTGTCCATGATATCACTTTAATAATATATAAGAAATTGTGGATATAATTACATACTACCATAAATATTCGTACTTTGATAAATTTTAAAATGTAGGGGTGCTAAATGCTAAAACTAAAAATTAGTAAACAGAAATTAGCGTAACTTTAAGTAAATGCAGTAGTTCCATAGCTTCGAAGGTCAAACAAAAATTTCTTCGCCTATCAGTGTGGAAATGGAACGGAAAGAAAAATATCCTCACATGAGAAACAAAAGAAAACTCCAGAATTTTCTAGCCAAATGTTGGAAAACGAAACCCTTAACGCCATCTGTTATCGAAAGAGAAGCTAAACTGAGAATCAGGTTATTTAAAGGCTTTCTTGTTCACTTTTCCGTGAATAGATAACGACAGCGCTTCGTTTCCTGGCAGAAAAACTCTCGAATCTCTAGAGAAAACTCACGAATTTTCTTCTAATTAACATTAGCGCTTTTCTTTTCACTTCATTTTCATATTCGCAGTTGAATAGGAATTCGTTTGAACTTTGAAACTGCAGTACTACACAGCAACGATTTATCGTGATAACGTTTTAAATTATAACATTTCTTTTCGCCAGCCAAATTATTCCAAATATTTTTGAAGCATCACACCAGGCAGCCTAAATCCTCGCCTAAGCACATACAGAAATCATTTTTTGAAAATCCAGAGGTAATTAATAATTTGGTACTACTGTAAGTTTTCTTTCCAAAGTGTTACATAAAACTTTTTCAAAATAATAGTTACTCTTTCTGAACGTTAATAATAGAGAAATTACTAAAAATGTCCTAAGTGGACATTTTGTATTTAAAGCCTCAATATATACGTTGAATGTGCGCGTGCGTATGCAGGCATTCTATTGTTATGAGTTCTTTCACAGTCCGCTTGGAGGGAGAAATCAAGAGTACACTCAAAAGCAGAGGTGGGCACGTGTTTCCTTTAAAGCAACGCAAGTGAATTTTAAAAGCGTTATCGGTAGATAGAGAATGCATACAAAGATGAATAGAAGACATAATTTGATACTCCGCCATAGTGATGTGTAACAGCTATGGGATTACGTGACAAGTTTAAGGAAGAAGGTAGTGCGTGTGATCTGAGGAAAGGATGATGCAGTAACAACAGAAAAGGAATGAAGCATGAGGACAATGTATTACAGACTTTCAGTGTATAATCCATAGAATCACGCATACGGGATAACATGAGACATACATATGCTTCCCTGCTGTTGAAACCAAATCCGTTTTTATCGACTTGTTCTGTAGCGTTGCAGGTGATTTTTTGCTGCATAGAATTCTTTTTTTAATATTTATAACTTTAAGATATGTGTTTTCCCCAAAACTTAATCTTGTCGTTCTATTGTTTTTTTTTACTGTTAACGTTTAAAGAGTGTGAAACATTGTTTTGAGATTTGTGTAAATGATAACAACTATTGTACAATCATGTTAATAGTTTTTATCATCATGTAAAATTATACCTTAAGTGATTATACAGACTTTACATCATGCTAGCATACCGAATCGGACAACAGCAGTAGCTTCAGCTGTGCGAAACTGGGAGAAATTAATTGCTAACTTTGATTTTTAACATTTTGAAAAAGAAGCTGAAAAGTATTCTTACAATTTCAGAACCTTATGAATGCGAAGTTTGTTTGGCTTACTTCAGAAACAAGATTTTTATAAATATTTCTGTAAACATTTGAACGTTACAAAAAAACTGCATTTTAAAACAAATAAAAACAAATCGTTAAGAAGTATTTTAAGCTACTGTTATTAAAATTATGAAGCAATATACGCTCTTAAAGCGCACCTTTGTTTCATCAGATATCATATATTAAGCTTAAACATTTTAAAAAATACACATCACAAAACTCCATACATACTATATACTTCACTATGTCTAAGTATTTCATTGTACGCTGGCATTTTTGCCAAAAACAACTAATAAAAATACTTCAGAGTTTTTAATTTTTATAATTCGTAAAAGCATAAATGAAAATGATGAATCGCTTGATTTAGAGCTTCCTCTCTTTTGATTAGAAGCAAGCAGGAATTTTATTTGAGGAATTTTTGCAGCTAATGAAATTCTGAATTTATTAATTTCAGTTTCCTCTCAAGTTCGAAATTTTATCAAGGATTTGCTATTTTTTCTCTCCCCAGTCAACCCAAAATTTTATTTCTTCTGAAATGTGTATCTATAATTAAACTTCATATTTATATTAATACAAATTTTGTGCAAAAATGATTTACGCAGTTTTTTTTCCACAGTATCTCTTCCCATCTCTGAATTTCAAGTCTTACCATTCTTTATCTTCTTTTTTTTTGCCCCTTATCCGGTGTGCAGTTCCAGTATAGATTTGCCCTCGGAACTGGAAGGTTGATGGGATAAAAAGTATTTCGTACTTCCGCTGTGTTTTTCCTTCTTTTTCTGCGGATATATTCTCCCTCTCCGTGTAATGCTCCCCACCATTAAACTCCATTTTGTGTATTTGAAGACATGTGCAACATGCACGCGAAGTATCAGAGTAATGTCACAGGAAGCCACATCCGACTTTAACTTCCTATCACACACATCTTAACGTGGTCAGCATATTACTTCCTCTATCTACACACTCTAGCGTGAAAAGAATGGCCGTAAATACAGTTTTTAACAGAAGCGAAGAAATAATAGCAAAGTTTAGTGTAATTTTTTATCTAAGATTTCTTATACGTGTTTCATGCCAATGTATTTAAGGCTTTATATATATATATATATATATTCTCTTCCTTATACAGACTGAAAATAAAAAAAGCTCACTTCTCTTATCCTAAGCTACCGATGACGATAAAATTGCACGACCAAAACATTATTTTCCCAGTCATAATAGTAGGCCTGTTAACCTTTACACCATAAGTAGGAATTTTCCAGATTTAAATTCATATTCCTTTAAAATCATCAGAATAAAAAAATAATGTAATAACATGCAAAATCTGTGTTTGTTCTCTAATAACTCAGTTACTACTATAGATACATGAAGCTGCAATTTAAATATTAAATATCATTTCACGATACTTATGAAGAAAATATATTCAGTTTTTAAACAAATTTTAAATTAATATTTCAAAATTAGATGGCCCTAGGTACCGTCGGTTTTTTTTCCTCACTGCGAGGAGCATACATACATACATGATACTTCATTAATAAATTTCTTTGAAAATAATACAGGGCGATAACATTTGGTGGCAAACAAAAGTGATTCGTCGTTTATAGTGGACGACGAAAAATCCTATTTCGAGACTAATAGCCCATTCGGGCAACAGCCGTTTTGGGCTAAAAATTAAAATGCAATTTTTCTGTATGAACATGGAAGGAGGTATATGTTTAGGAGTGTAATAAAAAAGCACGAAAATAAACGTTTCGTAGGTCACATATTTATTAGATTCTTTACTATTCGATTCCGTAGCTAGCAGTTTATGATTCGGCTGTTCATCTTGTGAAGCCACACTTGAAGGGCACTATTCATGCAATGAAAGAAATAACAAAAGTAAAAATTAATTTATTCTGAATATATACATTATGTATCTCTATGCGATAAACAATAGAATAATCTAAAATGCAAGTAAGGATAAATTATTCAGTTCTCTAGACAACAGCAAAAATCAGTGTAACTGAGCTGTCATTTTTATTCGTTGTAAGTGGAATTTTCAACTACTGTGAAGAGAAGACATTGCAAATGCGAATATTCTGTGTGGCTGTGTTTCATAATTGCGTGAAACAGCAGCAGTGCAAAGCTTGAATATAAACATAATGTTTTCGAAAAAGGTTACATTCTGTACCACTTAATAGTAAAATCATTTCATTACCGATAAAGATCATTTCGATAAATTTGGACTCAGTTTTCACCTGTGAACGGATTCAACAAAAGCTGTTTAAACCAATCATTTCCGGTAAGAAACAGGACAAATATCGATATAAAGAGGAAAGCCGAATAAAGGCTTTTTAAATAATGGCTTTGGAAATTATTTCATAATTCAGAGAATATGTCCAAATGATTAGATGAAGTCACGAGCGGATAATAAGCACATTACTAAGAAATGACATTGTCTAAACCATAATTAGAATTTAGCATAAACTCAAGACAGGTAAAGGGAATGGCACTCCTAGTGCCTCAAAAAAATAAATTGTGCATTTCATTTAACATAGAAGGAAGGAGAAAAATTAGTAATGTGTTCTTATGTTAAGAATGAGCTGCACATGAAAGATAAGAGTTCAGGTAGGCATTCCAAACAATGAAACTTACGATTACTTCAATTAGGTTCTGTGACAATTTAATTACATCGGGTTGACGAAGTATTCTTTCCTCTACTTTTAGGTGCAGCGGACCCAAAATTTAGGCTAATAGTTGACAATGGTTAGTACTGTGAAATGATGTTCCGGAAACGAAATGCAATCATGTGGACTGATTCGGAAAGTTCAGCATCTAGAAGATGTTTTCAGGAAGACTAAAAGCAATTTTTTAATCCCTTCCTAGTGATTTCTTTCCATTAAAAACATACATATATGACACAAGCTTCGTGAAAAATATTCATATGAAACAGCTGAAAAAGCTGAAAATTCTGGCAATCAGGTAGTACGGCAATCAGGTAAAATCTCACTACATGTTTATGCTCATTGTTTTACATTTTCGT